ACTTTCAGATGCTATTCTGTATTTTTAAGAAATATCATTCGAAGCATGCCTCGACTTTGCCAAGCAATAATCGATGCTAAGTGGATGAAAGTAATCACTACTCTTTGATTTTTTGCCTTTTTTACATTTTGTCTTTTACATGAGAATTGAGTGGATTTAGAAAAAAATGTTTTGTTTGCGGTTTAAAGAGAAATGTTTAATTAATAAATCCCCACAAGAAAAATTGTAATAAGTCATTCAATAAAAAAATGAGGATTAAAAAAAAATATTTGAGCAATGTATATTAATACAGTGCTTGCAAATACAAGTCCGACCGCGCTGGAAAGGACGGCTGTTCAATACCCGCGTGAAAAGAACAAGGATAGAACGCCAAATAGAATAAATAAATAATAAATAAATAATTCTTTATTCGTCCCAAAAAACATATAAAGGATAGTTTATAGAGGGACACCTCTATATACACATTATAATTCAGTACATATTTACATTAACAATTGTCATACACAATTCTTATAGTTACTTAAATACACTATACACATATATATTTACATATACATTTATCACTAATACAGTCATTATTAAATATCACAGATATACTTAAAATAAATAAAGCAAGCTTTAACCTCAACTTAAGTTTTTTTTTCTTCAGTCTTTTTTAGTCCTCCCTGTAATATTGAATATAATCATTTATGTTTTTTTTTAAATTTGTGACCTTTAAAATTTTTAATGCTGTTAGGCAGCCTATTATATAAATGGACTCCCCTGTAGGAAATCGAGTTCATTCCCATTTGGGAATTTACTTGAGGTAGATTCACCTCTGCATTTGATTGACCAGAGCCGGCAGGCTACGACAACGCATACCCACCGCGCACCTCGCAGCGTGCTTGACACGAGGATATCAGAAAGAGAACTGCAGTGGTGCCAGCAAGCAGTGATGCCAGGTCTCCCGTTTTAGCGGTAGATATACCGTTTTTGGAAACAATCTCCCGTTCTACCGCTATTGAAAAACATCTCCCGTTTTTTACTTTTTTTATAAATAAAATTCACAAATTCTCCTTCGTATTATACAATTTATATGAAACAAAAGTAAAATATGGGTTGCCTAAACCAAATATTGATATGACACAATTAGTTGGTTTTATCATTCACAGATGTCAGTGTCTCAGTCACGGGGTATTTCAGCCAACCAAATTTGTAGTACGCGAATATTCAAATTTGATTGGATAAAATTATTTTCCTTAGGCATGAACATAGAAAAAGAAGTCAGTAACCTTATGTTCTGTGTTGAGTAACAATTAACAGTTTTGTTTGTTGTTATTTTGACTTTTTAGAATCAATTACCATGAATTCTGAAAGTGATAACAATAGCAGCTGCACTAGTGATGAAGCACCCCAAAAAAAGAAATCATCAGTATCATCAAAGATATAATAAACAATGGGAGAACAAACCGGAATATAGAGGATGGTTAACCCAAAGTCAGAAAGATGTCAGGTGTCAGAAAGTCAAGGTGTTTGACAAATTCAATCTATTATATACTATATTTTTTGGTTACGTATACGTAACCTTATATACGTATACGTAATACTTATAAGTATTAAAATTATTAAAATAGAGAAAACCATGGTATTAAAAAAAATGGATATGGTCCATTTAAGCTGCGACGGGGAAACGAGCAATTCCCTGCCGATGCATTCCGCCGCATGGAATTTTGCGAGGTTGTTGTGGAGAGAGCAAATGCCGACCCAAATTTTATCGGTAATATTTTATTTACTGACGAGTCGACATTTACTCTCCATGGCAGGCACAATTCGCAGAATGTTCGAATGTGGGCGCGAGAAAATCCTCGTAGGATTTATGCAGCTCGGACACAGTATCCCCAAAAACTTTATGTCTGGGCGGGTATTTTGGGCGACCGAATAATTGGCCCATTTTTTATAAATGGGAATTTAAATGGCGCTAGGTATTTAAATCTCTTAAGAGACCAAATAGTTCCCGAGCTTCAAAATTTAGACGGAGTTAACATCGAAAACGTATGGTTTCAGCAGGACGGTTGCCCCGCACATAATGCGATGGCTGTTCGGGAATTCCTTTCCGACACTTTTGGACCTCGTCTTATTATGGGTCGAGGAGGAATTCTCTGGCCAGCTAGATCGCTGTGTGATTTTTTTTGTGGGGGTACCTCAAGTCGAAGCTGTACGTTTTCCAGGTAGATCGGGCTAATAACCTCAATGATTTAGGAATCCGCATAACTAATTTGTTGGGGGATATTAGTCCAGAAGTCCTAGCTAATGTCAGGGTTCGCAGCGAATGAAGCAAAAAATTTAGGGCACTTTAGGGCACTTTTACTTTTAACATAGGGCACTAAATTAGTGCCGATTTAAGAAAATTGTTGGAATAATTTACCTTATACATAAACAAATTATACCGTTGTTTTGTACAATCTTATTGCTAGGGCATACAATCCCGGACAAAATTAGGATTTCTTAAATCCCGGAATTTTCGGGATTTTTTTTAAATTACAAAAAACATCTTTTTTTAAATAATTTATTATTACTAAATACTTGAAACCCTTTTTTATATAAACAATTTGGAAAATAAAGGAAAAATATAAACAACAACAGTTAAGTAATATTAATCACTTATTTAATTACATACAACTTACAGTACTGTAAGATGTATGTAATTAAATAGTGATAAATTTTACTTTCCGATTTTTTTGAAATATCCCACCTTTTGTCCGAAAGTCCCAGGATATCATCAAAAAAATCCCGTGGATTGTATGCCCTATTAATTACACAGTAATTATTATTTTGGCACTATAAATGTTGTTCAATATTTCTAAAATATTATTTATTTAACTCAATGTTTATGAAATAATAGCACTTCTCTGCTTCTTGTGCTATTATTTCATAAACATTGAGTTAATTATCTATTACTACTGCTATAAAATGGATCTCCAAATTAAAAAAATATTATTTATTGTTTGTTCATTTTGTCACAATTAATAAAACAACTTTGTACACTAACAAAAATGTTGGGGGCGTGGTGCTTGTACCGCCAGATTTAAAATGTGAATTGACCGTTTTATTATATTATGTATGCCGCATTTGGACTCTTCACTTTCTTAAAACCCTTGTACGCCTTCGCACCTAATTAACATTTAGTGTAAATTTTATTTACAAGCATTTAAATTTTTATATATCACAATTTAAAAAATCAAAAAATTTTATTTTTAGGATTCGGGTATAAAATATTTAAAAAGAAAATTAAAATGTGCATCTACACTCTAACGCAGTTTGATTAACACTAAATGCAGTCAGACTGGCTGCCAGAGTTGACCTCGCTTACAATTCGCACGCACCCGGCTCTGGCCAATCAAATTCTATTTGGCGTTCTATCCTTGTTCTTTTCACGCGGGTATTGAACAGTCGTCCTTTTCAGCCCGGTCGGACTTGGATTTGCAAGCACTGTATATTTAACTATTATTTATAATTATATCATCTTTAAGTAAATTAAAACAATTATTTTGGCAATGATACAGGGTTGGCTGCCCAGTGGGTTTTTATGGGTAAAATTTACTTAAAAAAGCCCGCAGGGTTTTTTTAAAAGTGGCTTTTTGAAGTCTTTTTTTTCTTAGCATTAACTTTATATATTATTGTATTTTTTAAAAATTAAACATATTCCTTTGTAAAAAAACTCGAGTCCCAAGCAGTAGTAAATGAGTAGTCACGTAAACATTCGTGGCGACAAGCCGTTAGTTAAAACTTCCCAGATAGCACAAGAGGTACCCAGGACGTCCATTTCGGGTCCCACATAGGACCGAACGTCCCAGACCTATATCGGAAGTTTTGGGTACGTCCAGTCTCTTACTTATTTGGGAAAATTAAAGCGGATATACTCGGTACGTCCCAAGGACGTAATTTTTTTTAGCAATTAAAGCATAGTATTTCTAAAGGGTCTAAGTGTCAACTTGACTAAATAATATATTATCATTTAAAAATAGTTTGTGTCATGCAGAATGACTTAAAAAATATTCCAACATTTATGTATATGTTCAAAATATTTGTTTTTCATTGATAACTCACAATTTTATTTTTGTCACTTAGACCCTTTGGGAATACCACTCTTCAATTTTGTAGAGCTTGTCCAATAATCCCCAATAAAGTATTTCAGGACGGCCAGAGGATGTCTTACTTAGGACGTTCTGGTACGTCCTGGGGAAGGTTCAGGACCTGATTCGGACGTACTCAGGACTTACTAATGTCTGATACAAGATATACTTAGGACGTTTTCAGTACTTCTTTGTGCTATCTGGGTTAAAAGAACATCCGCATAAAGCGATGGTTAATCTAAAACTGCTTTAATATTTTAGAAATTCTATATGAGGACCCTAGAAGCCAAGGGTAGTACATTTTGTTTAGTTTTGAGATTATCATGTTTAAAGTAAAAAAAAAACAGTTGTAATTTTAAGTCAAAATTGTTTGTTGTTTTATGACTTTGTTTTTCAAGATGTCTAAGCTTAGAATTCAGTTATATCCCTTGGTTACCAAGTATGTTCAATTTGCTATCTTTTTCTCTACATAACTAAATTTTTTTTAAATGACACTTGTAGCCCTTGGCTTCTAGGGTCCTCATATATAATTCTAATTTAGAATAAAAAGAAACGATCAAGCTAAATTAATTTTAATGTTCAGGGATTCACCTGGTGCGACTTGCCTATCTGTTCTCCACTTCATTTTATAGTTGACAAGAGACAATTTCACATAAGAATTGGCTGTTAAATGTTGGGGACACCATGGTATAAGTGAAAAAGCAGCCACTAATATCTGTAGTAATTAGTTATTTTTGACTAATATATTTTTAGAGAGTACTTATAAAACCCAAAAAAAGACGGGTTGTGTTTTATATAATTATAATATAATTATAGTTAAAAATAATTATTAATTATTATTAATAATAATAATAATATTTTTAATATTATTGTATATTATGTACTTACAACACCATCTTTTTCCGTAAAGCTTTCCTGTAAAAAGTTGGTAAACGTTGGTCCAGGACATATCAAACTCACAGAAATATTTTTGCCCATTTTTTCATTCCTCAAAGAATTAAAGTAACCCTAAAAAGTTTTTAAATTGTTCATATTTTATGTCATATAAAAATTGTATTTAGTAATATATATTTTAATTTAATTTAAATTGTTTGTTTTGTCAACAAAGTTACAATTTTTTAATATTTATTTTCGTAATGGTAACTAATAATAAATATTGTTGATATCTATAGTTTCTTGTATATAATACATTATTAAATAACATTAAATTATCAAGAATATGCCAGTATCAGTAAAGAAAGTTAAAGAAAGGGCAGTAAACTGAAAATTTTGATGTGCATATATATATATATATACTCTTTGGCGCCATAATGCCATTATGCTTTAATATATATAACATTGGCATTGAGGATTAGACTTTTTTATATTTATTTGTAATAACTTTAATTTTGTTAAATAACTTGGTGGTTATTATTTCTACAACAAAATGCCCTGACTGATCTTGTTAGCAGTTTAATAAATTGGTTTGACACTTACATGTATAGCATACTTGGTTCCAGTATAAGTGCCAGAATAAGGCACTCCAATAACTCCTGCTAAACTGGACACAACAGCAACATGACCCCCTCCAGTTTTATTAAAATGACTTATTGCCAGCCTAGTTAAGTTAATTACTCCAAAAACATTAAGTTCAAACATTTGTTTATCCACTTTCATGTCAATGTTTTCCCACAATGCTCTTTGAGATCTTCCGGCATTGTTGACAAGAATGTCAACATGCCCAAAATGCCTGACAGCATGGTCAAAATGTTTCTTATGGCTCTCCAAATCTGTTACATCCAATACAAGAACAAGGACATCTTTGTCTTCCAATTGTTGATTAGACAGCTCTTAAAACAGATTAATTAAGTTTTAAATATGTTATCCTGTATCTAGATTAAGATACCTTATTATATAGGTACTAAATTTCTTAAATTTAAATGTATTATTTAATGACACTATTGTCCATAATTATAACCAATGCATGAAAATTATGTTATGATAAAATAAAATATATCAGAATCCAGTTATACATGTTGTCTAAGTAAACTTGGCACCACAGTTATTATTGAAACGGGGTAGGGCTGAATTAAATAAGTATGAGTATAATAAAGTTTGCTAGGTCCATTGCGTCCCGTACTGTCCCCTATTTAGGGCTCGGGAGCGAAGTGCCAATAAATTAAATAGCCTTTCCCGGATTCGCCATGCCGTTTCTATAGGTCATGAAGGAGGTAGGACGGGAGGGTTAGTCATTTTGGTGTTTGGGGGACAATTACGCCGACTTAAACCTGAGTACGACGCGGTATACCCCTAGACCAGGCAGTTAGTATTACTCCAAACATTTGGGATTACTGTTTGGGGGGTGATTCTACACGTAAAAATAAAATAAAAAGTTGCTATAAGCAGATGTCCGAAAATGGGACGCTATAGGCAATTTAAACTGTTTCGCAAAATCAGGTTTTTATTAATTATTTCAGAAACGGTTATTGCGAAAATACTTTATTTTTGGGATATTTTTTGGGCATCTGGTAGTGTCAGTTCGGATAAATCCATGTAAATGATGACCATAGGCATTCAAAACAGGGGCTACTCAGGGAAAAAATCCTCAAAACTTTATTTGTGGGATTTTTTTGAATTCTTATTCTTGGAATACAATTCTGCCCAAAAAAGCCAAAGAGTAAGTGTCATTCCATATGAAATCAACAAATGGGGTGTGCCACATGATTTTTAATGTTAATAAAAAAAATTGAGGATATTAGGTACCAGAAATGCTAATCCACCATCATTAATTTTTTTTATCGTATAAATTCTAGTCAGTACCCATCCAAAGTCAAAAAGTGGGTCAATTTCATACTGGGCTCTAGCTTTTAACTTAGAATAGGTATTGAATTTATTGATGCTTTATTTGATTGGGTAGTAAATGTACATTATTATAAAATAAAATTGAACAGTAACAACTAGGAACCAACTGACAATCTAAACTTTACAAAAAATTGCTCATTTTTATCATTTTTAATTGGACCCTGTGTCAACCCAGTTGCACATTAAGGTTTGATTTTTTTTAGAAATATAATGTTAACCATTCTGATGCCACGACTTAACTTTAATTGTTCTAAAATGATCCTATGAAAAAAAATTTGTGAAAATTGATAATTTTAAAAAATGCTTAACTTTGATCCTCAAAAAACTCATGTGGAGGAAAAAATAAAAATTTGATATTTTCACAAATTATAGTCTATATCTTCGTTAATTACGTCCAGTTAGTGCCATTCTGTTATTTTCACTTCTTTAGGAAATATGATTTTTTTTAAAGTGCTATTCTAAGTTAAAAGCTAGAGCCCATTATGTACAAGTATGAAATTTACCCACTTTTTGAATTTGGATGGGTACTGACTAGAAGCTATACGATAAAAAAATAAATGATGGTGGATTAGCATTTCTGGTACCTCAAAGATTATCCTCAATTTTTTTTATTTAAATTAAAAATCATGCGGCACACTTTTTAATTCAAATTTGTTGATTTCATATGGAATGACTCGTAAGTGACTAATCATCAGTTTTGAATAAATTGAAGTTTATGCCTTATGCCTTTCAATTTGTTATAATAATGCCACATAGGTACTGCTGTTTGCCAAGCCTTATAAATTCTGTTAGACGTATAGATTAAAAAATGGATTCAATTAGTAGCTGCGTCACATACTGCTTATGCCCGATCAAAAATAAAACATTTTTAGGGTTTTTGTCACTTACTGCCTTTTGCCTTTTTTGGTCAAAATTCTTTAGAAAATTTTAAGTAAAAAGGGTATCATGAAGCCAACTGTTTTCGAGAAAAATTTTATTAAAAATGTCTCGCCATAAAAATTCATAAAGTCTAATTGTTAAGGTAAATGAACTACAACAATAACGCAATTTACTTCCAAGTTTTAACAATTTTTATTTTAGTAAATGGTCAGAATGACCGCCGTTTGGATTGCTTTTGGATTCACAAGCATTTACAACCCGCGGCATTAATTCCTCAACGTTATGAATTTGGACCGCATACACCAATGATTTTAAATATCCCCACACACAAAAGTCAAGTGGATTTTAATCTGGAGAACGAGGAGGCGACGGAATTGGCCCTCCTCGTCCTATCCATCGGGCGGCGTAAACTTAATCTAGACTCTTTGCGGATGATGCCAAGATTTTTTTAAATATTTCTAAAATGTCTGATTGTAACAAATTACAAATGGATCTAAATTCAATTTTTAGATGGTCAGATAAAAATAACCTTCCCCTTAATATTAATAAATGCAATACAATGAAATTTTCTTACAGGCACAATAAAATAGATTTTACTTATAGTTTAAATAATATTAATATTAATATATTAACCCTATAGGGTTGAAATTGTTAAGGATCTTGAAATTTATATTGACCCAGTTTTAAAATTTGATACTCATATTGAAAATATAACTAAAAATAGTTATCTAAAAATAGTATATATTGTTAGAAATTGTAAAGAATTTAAAAACAAATCCACATATACTCGATTATTTAATATGTACATTAGGGTGGGCCGAAAATCCGCTTTTTTAGAATTTCGTTTAGTAATAGCAAAAATTTTGTTTATTATGTTGTAAACAAATTTTGTGTAAAAGATTAAATTTTTCGATCAACATCCTAGGCTCGCCCAACGCAATTAAAGATCAAAATGTTCAAAAAATGTTGATACTAAAATCGGGTTTATTTCTGAAACTATCCATCTGAAGTAATTTTGTGTAAGGACCTTTTTTGTAGAGCATAAAATTTCCGATCGAAATAAGTTAGGAAAATTTTTTTTTTAACATTTTGATCTTTAGTTGCGTTGCAACGCGTTGGGCGAGCCTAGGATGATGATCGAAAATTTTAATCTTTTACACAATTTTTTTTTACAACAAATTTCTGAAACTATCCATCTGAAGTAATTTTGTGTAGAGCATAAAATTTCCGATCAAAATAAGTTAAGAAAAATTTTTTTTTGAACATTTTGATCTTTAATTGCGTTGGGCGAGCCTAGGATGTTGATCGAAAATTTTAATCTTTACACATTTTTTTTTTTACAACATAATGAACAAAATTTTTGCTATTACTAAACGAAATTCTAAAAAAGCGGATTTTCGGCCCACCCTAATGTACATATATATGACCGCAATTAGAATATGGTTGTGTTCTTTGGGATCCTTTTTACAAAAAATATACAGCATCTATTGATAAAATACAAAGTTACTTTTATAAACTTACAAATTACTATCTTAAAATTCCCATTGAATACAATTATTTAAACTATTGTTTTCTTTTACTTAATTTTCTTTTTATAATAAAAAATAGATTTAAATAGTATCAAATATTTTTCCAACGCATCTAGCACCCATATTAATAAACAATCTTTAATATCAAATTTACAAAAAACGCATTATGTCCAGATATTTCTTTATATTCTTTGATAATATTGCTAGCATCCACATTAATAAACTATTTTCAATATCAAATTTTAGCATCTATAATCCATATTATAACACTTTCTTCAATATCAAGTTTAAAAAAACGCACTATGTCCAGATATTTCTCTATTTTCTTTGATAATATTGCTATTATTCGTATATTCGCGCCGCAACTACTCATCGAGTGAAGGCATGCGCGGCACGAACCGAAACTCGTCCACGGGAGCATTCAGCCCTGGGGATATACCCTGGAATGCTTCTTGGTACATAAAATTCATGTTGGCCATTTCGTAGAAAGTGTAATTTGTAATAAGAGCACCTTTTTAAGTAAAATTATCTGGATAATTGGGTTCAAAGATCGAGGAATAAAAACAAACCCACAAAAAAAATTATAAGGATATTTTCCCCGAGTAGCCCCTGTTTCTCAATGGTCATTATTTATCCGATTTGACACCACCAGATGATTTCTTGCCCAAAAAAACACCCCTTGAAATAAAATATCATTATTTTCGCACTAACCAACTTATTCTTTTATTTTTACGTGTAGAATACCCCCTGAAAAAAAGGGTTTTTTATTAAGAGCGACGCATTTTGTTTTTTCAATTAAAAGACTTGTGGGTTAGTTATAGAAATCAATTTAATTTCAAATGAAAGTACAATCGATACCATTATTTATGGAAAACGACATCGTTGAAATGTCCGCCGCGGAAGCGCTGGCACGAGTGAATACGCTGGACCAAATTTTCCATGACTCGAGCACACAAAGCGGCAAAAATACAAAAAATTTTGCGTTCAATGCTGTCCTGCAGCTCTTCTAACGTTGCTGGCTTGTTGGCATAATGTAACCCCAAATAAAAAAGTCTAAAGGGATTAAATTGCACGAACGAGGCGGACATTCGCGAGGATCGTTGCGTTGACCGAAAATTGGCGTAAGATCACGCAACGTAGTCGCGATAGAACGTGAACTTTGATAAATAAGTTGAATAATTTGCAAACGTTGTTGAAGCGTGTATCTCGCCATGATTAAATGGCAAATACTGACGTTTCAAAATGTCAAAGAATTGCTAATCCAACTACACTACTACTCGATAAATGTCAAAAACAAAATGCGTCGTCCCTAATAGGGACTGCCTATTGAAAAACCCTTTATATTAACGTAATTTCCTGACACCCTGTATATAATAGTATGCCATTATACTAGATAATGCTCATGACATTACAATATGATCACTTAGCACATTATTCGGACTTACTTAGTGATTACGATTTTGTTGAATTAAAAAAAAGAAGAATTAATTTAATTGTACTGTTTTTATATAAATTGTTAAACAGTAAAATTGATAATTCTGATTTCTTGTCAAAAATTCCATTAAGAGTACCAATAAGAGCAACTAGAAACTGCGATCTATTTTACTTACCAAAAACCAGTACCAATATGTTTATTATGTCACCCTTATTTCAATTGTGTTACTACATATATGGAAACAAAGTTTCTCAAGACTTGGATTTTTTCTGTTGTAGTTATAATAGCCTATTGAGAATGTTGCCAAATATTATTTAGATCTTTATGTATTGTTTATTGTGTATTTCTTACTATTATATTGTTTTAACCTATCCTGTAATTGGGCATCAGCCTGTTGGATTTGTACTTTAAATAACTAAATAAATAAATAAATAATCTAATACGTTACTTTATTTACTCCAATTAGTAGATAATACCATATTACCCCACTTTCTCATAATTTAAAAGATTATTATGGTAGCCCTATGTATACTATCATAAAATCTAACAACTGTCAGACAGCCCTAACCTGACTTTCTTACTGACGACATAAAAAATGGGTTTATTATTCCTGTTGGGGTTATAAAAACCCAAATAATGTTAATATTAGTCAATATAAGTAGAAAAAAAATTATTGTAGTAGGTACTTGTATTCAAAAATAAAGACGCATTATTATTAGTGTTCTTTTTAAATAAAATATTAAAACAAAATCCAGTAGAACTTCAATTTTAAGAAAATACCCCATTTTATTTAATGTAAAAGTATTTTAATTCTTGTTTATATTAACATAAATAAGATATTTTTTGTTTAGTTTAGTGCTTAAACCAGCTTCAGTTTATACACAACTTGTTTCCAAGCAGTTTGAAAAAAATATTGACCTTCATTTAAATGATATAATGAGATAAGGTAAAATTTTGGTTTTGTCAGTCAAGGGATTCAGGTCGCTCAATGAAAAAGTGTGAAAAATAGATGACTTCTCGACACAGGAGGGACAAAATTGGATTCCCGACATATAAATTTCCCTGTATTTCGCGATAATATTCTTTGATTCCTTTTATAAAGGAAAAGAGGAATTTACATAAAGTTAAATTTAAAGGTTATATAACCTATTTGTGTGCACGTGTTTGTCCAATAATCGTTGTCCAATGGTGGATGGATCTTGCTGAAATCATTGGACGTTAGCATGAAAGGCAAGGAAAAATCCAGACGTGCCAACAGGCACACCTTTCATTCGTCTTACAAGTCGTAATCGTAATCGTAAGTTACGACGCGAGTCCAGAAAGAAGAAGATGAATTAAATGAGTAGGTTCACATGCGTAAAAACTATAAAATATACAAACCTATACATTTCCTTTTAACTCTCTGCAACTCTTCGTTTCGTCTAGCTGCTAATACAAGTTTTACATTGTGTTTGGCCAATGAATATGCTAAATGTTCACCAATTCCACTGGAAGCTCCAGTAATGAAAACCACTTTTCCTTTTAAACGTCCTAAAAATATTTTAAAAATAAGTATGAATAAAAATAATAAGGAAAAATATTAAAGCTTAATTAATATTATTTATATTTTTTTAGATGTAAAAATATAATAATTAATAAATTAAAAATAATAGCTGTTTTTAAATAATTATTCAATACTAATTATGTAATTACCTATTAATTATTTTATTATTATGTATATTACAGTGGCGGCTCGTCAGGGTAGGCCTCTGAGGCCGCGCCTCACCCTTAAAATGAAGAAACGAACGACTTTTTGTATTTATATTTTTGCCTATTACAAGTGTATTTTTACAACAGTTCTACCCAATAAAAAGTAAAAAACCAATCAATAATATTAAGCGTAAATAAAAATCCAGGCGCAAAGCGCGTCAAGTTAACGTGCATCGTTGAGAGTCGCTTGTTGTATGTATCTTGGCTTGGACAGAGGCGAAATTTTCACAGCCTCGGAAGCTCCCATTTACGTCTTGAAAGCGAAAATGACTCACCAACAAAAATATCGCCGTAAGTTCGCGAATAAACACCGCAGATGAGGCGTAATTTAGTTAGCTTGGTTTGTTCTGATTGGTGGTCCGTTTATGGTGGGATGCCAGCGGAGACACAGAAGCACATACAGCACAAGATGTCCATTGGACGTCCAATGGACTTACATTGGACGTTTGGATGTCCAATGTAAGTCCATTGGACGTCCAATGGACATCTTGTGCTGTATGGGAGGTTGCCAGTCTTCTCTTAGCGTTTGTAGAGCACGTTATTGTTTTGATTCAGATTAAATTATTTTAAACTTTTGGCTGATCTTTTATAGTTTTTGTCTCGATTAGTAAAATTTCTTATTTAATTATTGTAGGGAACACACTAAGGTAGATTTAGCAGTTTTTATTAAGCAAATTTTATATTTTGAAATAATAGATTGCATAATTCTTCAATTAGAGACGCGGTTTGAAAATTTAGAATTACTTTTAAATCTCACTGCAGACCCACAATAACCAAATAATAGATACATTTTCAATCTTAAAAGATAGACGTATAGTATTTTATATTTTTTAATACTTAGGTAGGGGTCGACTTTTTAGTTTTATTTTTATTTTTTGATTAATTTATTTATTTTTAACTTTTTTAAGACTATATTTTTAAGTTTAAGATTAAAACTAGTCTTTGATGTGATATTTTGTTTGTTTTGTTTTTTAGAGTTTATTTTTTGGTTTAGTAGTGCTATCGGCTCCATTTTAAAAAAGGTCAACGCGTCGGAGAATAATACCTCCCGGGTGACGTGGAAATTTATTCGTATTTAGACAAAATTAACCTTATGTAGCCTCACCCTCCTGTACACCCACGAGCCGGCACTGGTATATTACATTGATAAAAAGATAGGTATATATTTAACTATAATTGGAAGGTCCAGTTATCTCCAAATTTTACAGTAACTATGTTAGAAAAACGCTCTTATAAAGTCACCTTTAATAAATTAATATTTTTTAAATTTTATATTCACTCCTGGCTACAATCTTCAAACTTTATGCAAAATTTATAGTAGCGTTTTTCTTACCTGCTTTAAAATTGTATTATTTTGGAAATACCTGGTTCTTGCACTAGACCCCTTAATAATACCAGAAAATTGCGCACCTACGCATTAAACTTGGCAACTTTGTTCATACTGTGCTGAATGAAAACAAAATAAACATAAAGTCCATAATAATGAAGAACAAGCACACCAAAAAACGTACGCACGTTCTTGGTAGTAACCTACGGTTGCGCAAAATACCCGTGCGCGCACTCTGTATCGTGGTTCACAGACTGTAAGTGCATGTACTGTAAACTATTATTATATATAACCTATAGGTTTTGTCAGAAAACCCAAACTTTAAATTTTGGAGCCTACACAAGGAGTACGAACTTAATAGGGGCATTGACAGAACCTGGCTACAAAATCGCACAAATTATGTATTCCTTTTTCACCACTAACGACGCTGATTTCCATTTTGTACTGACGTCTGCTTATACCCCTCCTCTGTTTCGATACAAGGTTGCAATATGAACGAAAAATATTTGTTAGTTTTCTTAGCAAATAATTTAATTGCCCGCTCGGCGCTATCGTATGTGTTCTTTGACCGTCACTTGATCAATGCTGCCATCTCGTGTATAATCGTTGGAGCTTCAAGTTTTGCGTCAAGGTTGAAAACCATTACAGGCTTTCGCATTGGCGTATTGGGGCCAAGTGATTAAATTCGGTTCAATATTATTGGTTTTATATGATCCGGATTCCTACTTACTTGCAGGGTAAACAGTGTTGCCAACCCAAATACTATGATGATTTTAAAAGTTGCTTGTTTACAACAAATCTTACTTTAAAAAGTCACCTATATTTTTTGAGTATTCTAGAGAAATCTGACACTCTAAAGGAACCAATTATAAAGCAGAATTACAGATTTTTCTAAAAAGTAGTTAAAATTGCGAAATATCTCATCGGCTGCTTATTGGAGGATTTTGAATGTTATCAGAGTAGAAATATAAGAAACAAAAGTATTGTGTTGTGTTATGTTATTTTATTCTTCCAAAAAATACATATTTAAGTTAATTGTTTTAGTTGTTTAGTTGTTTTCAATAAATTAACTGGAACAGTCTCTCGACATTGGCACTACTTTGTATAGCGCAAGCTTTTTCCTCTCAAACTGACTCAATAAAAAACATTTGTGCATCATCGCTTTTTTTATTTGGTAAATTTATCAAAGGGTAAAAAGGTAAAAAAACACAAGGCATTATAATGACTTTTTAACGGAGTTATGATTAAAACTTTTATAAACTTGTTGGTAGATCTACTGAAAAGTTGGTAGAGTTGGCAACTAAATGCAACCTTTTACTGTTTACTCTGTTTCCTTTGCAAACTCGAAAACGGCGTCTTGTGGATTTAATTTTTGATGCTTGGCAACATTGCATACACACTACTCTGTGATCAGAGCAGTGTTGCCAATGTACGTGGAAATCCACGCATTGTGTGGAATTTATTTTGTTGTGTGTAATTTGTGTGTAATACATAAATGTGTGGAATTTGCCTGTAAACCTTATCTTTAAATTAACAATGCTTATAACAAGCATTTAAATAGATATATTTGCAAATGCGCATTTTAGTTATTTAGTTATATGGACGAATTTCTGTGCAGATTTCTATATATACAGCAAAGTGATTTCGGCTTAATTTAAAAATTAAAAAAATCTGGTGTTTTTGGAAACTTGCAAGCGTAAGTTATCGAGTAACTTAAAACCGGTTATAACAATAGACTTTTTGACAAAGTAAGTAATCAAGTAAGTTTTTAAAACGCCTTTAAGTAATCACCAGTAATTACCGCAGAAAGAGTTTTTGTGGTGATTCACCTCAGAAACTCTTTCTGCGGTAATCACCAAAGAAACCTAAAGGCGGGTCTACAATTGTCGCAGGTCGCAGATCGCAGAACATAAGCTTGCGCAAAGCACCCAGCTGACAAAAGAACCTTGCTCCATCGCAACGTCGCGGGGTGCTTTGCGCAAGCTTATGTTCTGCGATCTGACCCCTGCGACAATTGTAGATCCGGCTTAACAAAACCAAAATCCCAAATGTGTTGAATAGTTGGCAAAATTGTGGAATTTTGACAGAATCTGTGTGCAAATTATGTCAACACCATTGGCAACACTGGATCAGAGAGTCTCTGTCTGTGCACAGGAGTAAAGCCTGATTTATAGGTTGCCTTCCTTCCGGCAGCTTGCCTGTAGGATTCCGTAAGCATGCGCGTTGTTAACACAAATAGTTGACACTTGTTTTGCGTATATATACAGTGATCATCATTTTAATTGCTCAGGCAGCCCTTTGCATTATAAAAAGGAAACATCCCGGAGAACAATCCTGGTGAAGTCATGATGATATCACAACGTGATTTTTTTTATCACGCTGTGATATCCTGAGTGCATACACATGCTTCATCACATTGATATCATATAGAACCAACGGTGTGATATTTGCAAAATTTGCGCATGCATATGAGCCCTGCGAACTGCGAATTTAAAACCTACATTGCACCAACATTGCACCGTTATAATTTATAAAACGTTGTTTGAATATCACGAATGTTGTCCGGGATTTAACAAGATTTTATAATCTTTATAATCTGTGAGACTTATTATAAAATATAGAGCAACCTTTATTAGTAATTAGTAAGCTATTATAAAATATAGAGCAACCTTTATTAGTAATTAGTAAGCTAAACCAATAATAAAGTTAATAATTTAAAATTTATATTATAATATAAATTTTAAATTATTAACTTTATTATTGGTTTAGCTATCACATGGTGGTACTATTGCTTGAACGTACACAAGCAGTGATGTAAACTTTCGTTACTTTTAAATACTTGTACCGATTCGTTACTTTTAATATCAATACCCGTTATTTTATATTCGTTACTTTCGGTACTTTTAGTCTTCAGTATTAGTACAATACTGAGTAGGTACATGGTTACTCTACTCTTTTATTATTTTTTATTCGCATATGCCTATGAATTATAGGCGATTTGGTATTTTTAGGAGGTAATGGTAATAATAATAGTTTTTGGTACTTTTAAATTTAAACTTTTAAATTAAAAAAATATAACAGAGAACAGGGATTTTATTAAACATAAACAAAACTTCTTTATTTTCATTTTCATATCAAAACAAAAAAGTATATAAAATAAAATATCATCAGACATAACAAAAAACTAAACTGAAAATTAAAAAATAACTTAATTTATACTGCATATTTTTATAAATCATTATTACAATGCAAAAATAGTAGTTTTTCCACATTAGATGATTTTAATCGGCATTATAGGACATAGGTATAAAAGTAACGAGTAACGAGTATTTCCAACAACAAGGAATCGGTACTTTGAGTATTGGGCAAATACCCGTTACAAAGTAACGAGTAGGTACTTTTTTTACATCACTATACACAAGTATTGAGTGGAATATGTGATTGTTATTAAGTACCATTGACATAGGTACCTAGGTAGCTATTATTATTTAATAAATTAAGTTTTAATATTACTGGTATTTTTATTTGTACTTTATTTTATTACCCAAGCTAATTATCTAGATTATTAAATATTTATTTTAACTTTAACTTTTATAATTAATAACAAGTTGTAAACAACCAATTTTTGAAAATAAAATTCTGTTAATAGTTTTAAACTTTGACCACTGCTATCATTTAAATGAATGTCTTTAAATAAATTATAAATAAATTATACATTTTTTCTTAGGTACCTATACGTTAACGTAATTATACAATAAAATTGGAGAAACTCAAAAATAGAGTAAGTATGTATGGAGTTTAACTAAAGTTTTAATTATTAAAATCATTTAAATAACCCAATTCGAATTTTAAGTACTGGAAGTGTGATATTTATTTTTATTAATAATAGAAATTAAGTAGGTATATATATTATATATATACCTACTTAATTTCTATTATTAATAAAAATAAATATCACACTTCCAGTACTTAAAATTCGAATTGGGTTATTTAAATGATTTTAATAATTAAAACTTTAGTTAAACTCCATACATACTTACTCTATTTTTGAGTTTCTCCAATTTTATTGTATAATTACGTTAACGTATAGGTACCTAAGAAAAAATGTATAATTTATTTATAATTTATTTAAAGACATTCATTTAAATGATAGCAGTGGTCAAAGTTTAAAACTATTAACAGAATTTTATTTTCAAAAATTGGTGTTTATATAAATTATTTATAAAGTTCAAACTCACTTGGTGACTTTCCAAAATATTCGTAAATTTTTAATTGTAAATCACAATCACTTAGAGATGTACTGATTGTATAAAAAATTCCATAAACAACCACTCCGACTCCAATTATGGCAAAAATCATTTTATTATAAAAATTAAATTCTGATAAAAAATATAAACATAACCTAAATACAAGACTTTCACCCACAAGTATGTGCTTTCACCACAGAATCAAGAAGACTGCTTACCATAGATATCTTTTATCTATGCTTCTTACACAAAACACAAAACAAAACAGTGTTATCTCTGGTTCTTTGGTTGTACGTAGATTCTTTTGGTTGGTAACAATTATTTACATAACCTCTCTATTTATGTTCTGTGCCTGTATACAATAATAATTATTGAATAATTAACTTCTATAAGTTAAAAAAACAATAATAATAATAATACTATTATGTTTTTTCCACGTTATAATGTTACCAATAAGATAAGTTAACAATAACCTAAAAGATAACTGGAAAATGTGTAAGTTTTTAATTAATGAAAGCTTAGAGAAAAAACATATAATATTTAATTTATAATTCCTATTATTTAAAATAAATGTTATTTTTAGACAATGCAATTGAATTGGTAAGTGGAAGAAGGGTTCAACTCTCAACATAACATTGTACAGTGGCAGACACAGATTTTAAATGACTATCATTCCGTTGGCATCAAAATCTAAACTTTCTTTATGTACAACTAACCTTACTTCTGATGGTCACTATTCATTTTCACAGCTAAAGCAAAAATGGTCAATATTGTATCTTTGCCATTTACAGATTTATGCATGGACAACCAAATTATGTCGTTTAAAATTCAATGTCCACCACATTACATGTACTCCATAAAGTTTTTCACCAAATGCACAGAGTAAAAGAACAGTCCAAGTATATCATCTGTTCTTCCACTCATTACTGGCAATTTCTTCGTTTACCTACAGATTCAGTTAAAATGTTATAATTGAGTCGTATAGATTCAAAACCCGCCAAATCCATTTATTGAAAGTAAAGGACAGTAGATATGTTTGCAATACATATTAATTATGTTGTTATGGAAACATGTCTTCTGTCCTTTATTTTCAATAAATGGATTTGACTCAATTTACCTATTAAGTTCGGGCTCCTTGTGTAGGCTTTATGCAATTTTGGTTCAGCATATCAAAGGTATTATAATAAACTAACTTTGGAAAATTGTTCTGAAATTTATAAAAAAATAACTTTTTCATAAAAATTTATCTTTTTTGTGTTTTTTATTTTCTTTTAAAAATATAATAAAATGTTAATACTAGGGTATTAAAATTTCCGGAAAAATTGATCCGGCGGAAAAAACGGAAAAATTGGGAAATAATCAAAAAAATTTACTTTAATTTTTTAAATTATATTCAAAGGGTAATACGAAAGAATGCAAAAGTCAATTTTTTTTGTAAATTTCCAAATTTTTACGGATAGTATCTGTACACTGATAACGAGAAAAAAGTGAATTTCCGACGCTGATTATAATCATATAATATTATGATTATAATAATTCCTTTTATTTTAATTCAGTAAGAATATTCGGTGCTATATTAACATAACTTTTATTTAACAGTTCGATTTATAAAATTATAATTTTGTAATTTAACTTAAAGTTACTTTATAAATCATTCATTATTTTGTAGTTAATTTAATTTTAATTATTTATTTTAAATTTAAGTTTAAATTTTTATTGTAATACAAGATTTTTTTATTTAAAATAATGTTAAGTTGTTGATTGCTACTTTTTTTCAAATGTGTATATTTTCCACAAAAAAAATCAATTTTTCCTAAAAAAAGCCAAGGGGCCATGGCCTGGGGAAAAACAGGTTTTTTCCCCAATTTTTCCAGTTTTTTTCCGACACTTTAAAACCCTAGTTAATACACAACAAAACTAAGGTATCTAAAGCCATCGTGAAAAATTCTGAGCTCCAATTACTTAAGAAATATTTAATAATAATAATAATAAAGGACAGACAATTTTGTGATTGTAAATAAAGATAAATTATTGCAGTTACAAAATTTGGTGTCCTATTATTAAAAATGTTACTTAAGCCTTTCATCCACTTACCCCTTCAATTATGATTTAAATAATGCCGCTCTACCTGCTATACCAGCGTGCGCTGCTCCTTACGGCTCGTTATCCTGGAGCGCATTTACTTGATGATTATATAAATGAGTACATTAGATGCAAAACTCGGTTTTTGCAAATTTTTAAAAAATATATATTTTATCCTATTTATGTACATTACTGCACTGCCTACAGCATACCTAAGTAAACCAGATGCAGAAGTTAATATTTGTTGAATAAAATACATTTTAAAACTTAACGCAGATGCAAAACTGGGTATTTGTTTCTTCCTGTCGGATGCAAAACTGTATTTGCTGTTGACCAATCACGTCGCTAGTATACGCATTACGTGACGACATAACAATCACCTGATTAATTGTTATTTTTTGGTATTTACACTTTTCACTTGCAAAACTTGGTCTTTGAACGAGGAAGATGCAAAACTATGTTTTTAAATCTTTTGATTTCAATAATTTACTAAACTACATAATTTTAAAGGATTTGTTTTTACTTTTTTGAATAAAAATGGTGCAAAAGCACGTCTATTCAATTTTTGCATTTTTTTTTCAAAAATGATGTTATGAGCGGTTTTTCATGTTTTTCTTAAAATCCTGCAAATACAGAGTTATGCATCTAATGTACTCAAATGTAAAGAAATAACTTTTATCTGCAAGCGTCCTATAACACTAGTAAACAATAAAAAAAGGTCGGTAATAAAAATAGCTCAGTCCTATAGATTTTGACCTGCTCGACGCAAATCCGGCGCCCAAAAAATTTTCTGAAGTCTCGTTTAGACGATAAGGGCAGGACCATGATACAAAGAAAAATTGTTAAATAATAACGATAAAAATTAGTAAATAAAAAAGGTCGGTAATAAAAATAGCACAATCCTATAGATTTTGACCTGCTCGATGCAAATCCGGCGACCAAAAAATTTTCTAAAGTCTTGTTTAGACGATACGGGCAGCACCATGATACAAAGAAAAATTGTTAAATAATAACGATAAAAATTAGTAAATAAAAAAGGTCGGTAATAAAAATAGCACACTCCTATAGATTTTGACCTGCTCGACGCAAATCCGGCGACCAAAAAATTTTCCAAAGTCTCGTTTAGACGATACGGGCAGCACCATGATACAAAGAAAAATTGTTAAATAATAACGATAAAAATTAGTAAACAAAATAATTTGAACGATAAAAAACATCAAAAAAACATGCCTTAAATTATTACAATATGTACAGATATGTTGTTCATGGAATGCTGAAATATAAGTTAAAAGTATCGTCATCTTAAAATTTTCAAATGGTGTATCTATGCAATAAATGGTACCAAAATACTGTGCTCCTATTTTTTATTTACGACTTCAGAAATTTTTTTTTAAAACATTTTGGATCTATTTCAGTTATAAACAATCGGAAAATTCTATTTTTAACCAGGACCTTTTTTTTAAGTTAAAATTTGTTGCCTAGTGTAATTTAAGCTTTATTATTGATTTAAGGAAAAAGTAATTTTTTTGAAAACTCATTAAAAGTTGACTTTTTCATTATAATTATTAATTGTCAAAACAACAGTTTTTTCTCTACAAAAAGTAATAGCTTTTATAGCTAATAATAATAATACATAATTTTTGTATTAAGAGGGCAAATTGATATATTTTCGCACTTTACAATCGAATTACACACAGGATTTTTCTACAACCGGTGTTTTTATAGAAATGATGTTTGGTAAAAATTAATAATTATTGATCATCTCCAACTTGACTTTTGTTTCAATAGTCGCAGAAACACTAGATGTTTCTTTATTATGGTTTCCATGGTAATCATGCGAGCGTTTTGGTTATTTTGTCGCTCGGCGATTTAAATATAGTTAAATACTGCATAAAATAATATAACTTGAGTATGAGTATGAGTATAAGAGACGTACAGGCCTATGTTTACTTACGCCGATTTTTGTTTGCCCCCAGCAACTGCACGGCTTCACTGGTGTTTGCTGGGTGCGAATGTCCATTGCCTTCCGTACTGTCCCCTATTTGGGGCTTGAGAGCGAAATGCCAATAGTTTTAATAGCCATTCACGGGTTCGCCGAGCCGATGCTATACGTCCAGTAGGGTATAGAGGAGGAAGGACGGGAGGAATAGACATTTGTTGGTTTTTGGGGGACAATTACGCGGCAAGTACTACGCGGAATCTCCCTAGACCAGGCAGTTAGTATTACTCCAAACATTTGGAACTACTATTTGGAGTTGGGGAGTTATTATTTCGCTGCAGGGGTATAGTTTTCTAGTCGTGGTCTTCGTTTTGTTCGTTATTGTCATTGTCCGTGTCCTGGTCAGATTGTTCCTGCACTTGGTAAAGTGTGTCAGTTGTTTTTTTATTTTATTTTTATTAATAAAAATAAAATAAAAAAACAATTGTTGCGTAGTTGCTCCCAACTGATCTTGTTAATTTGTGAGAAGTGAATGTTCTGTGCTAACGTGTCATGAAACGTGAAGCATGGTCTTCCGACTTTTTTGTCTGTAAGGTCTAGTTTAAGGGTGGCTTGTAGTATGTTGTTGCGTTGCCTACGAGTGTCGTGGGCCCAATATTTTAATTGGGCCACTCTTACCCTTTTGGTAATGGTTTTGCCCATTTGCAGGTCGCGGGAATGTTGGTGATGGTAGTCGGGTAGGTCTGTCGTTAGTAGTGTAGTAGTGCTGGTAATGACGGCTCCTAAATATTTGAGGCTAGTTTCGAGCTGTAGTGTGTAAGGGCCGATTTTAAAGGAGCCAACTTTGTGTAGCCTGTTCGAGTATTTGGGGTTGCGAATTAGTATTTTGCTTTTTCCTGCGTTTAGTTTTAGGCCTATTGCTGACGTGTGTTCTGTTAGCACGTCGATAAATCTTTCTATTTCCCCTACGTTGTTAACGATGTATAGGAGGTCGTCCGCAAAAGCGAATATGGTGGGGAGTGTAAGGTCAGTTTGGGGATTTCTATTAGTATTATGTGTAACGCCAGCATTAGCCTAATGCAGTAGTGTCTTAACCAGCCTGGTCCTTATTTTGAAAGTCTAAATTTTATGTGTGCTTCCCTCTGAAACGATTCTCTACCACACTGTTCAAAATTTCATGACCATTTTAACACCAAATTAACACCATACATGGTCTATATCGATACAAACCAAACTGGTATTAAATATGGTTCGTTGGCCGGTGTAAATTCAAATACTAAAATGGT